CTCGTCCTCGTCGTCGTCGTTGTTTCCGAGGGCCTCGAAGGGCCTCCAGACGCCTCCAGAGGCCTCCAGAGACCTCCCGAGGCTCCTGGTGACTTCTGGAGGCTTTCAGAGGCGGCTGTCGTCCTGGTCGTCGTCGTCGCCCTCGTCGTCGTCGTCGGCCTCGTTGTCGTCCTCGTTCTCGTCCTCGTCTTCGTCGTCTTCGTCGTCCTTGCCCTCGTCCTCGTCGCTATCGTCGTCGGCGCCGGCATCATCGTTATCATCGTCGTCGTCGTCCTTGTTCTCCTCGTCGTGGTCGTTGTTTCCGAGGGTTTCGAAGGGCCTCCTTCAGACACCTCCAGAGGCCTCGGGAGACCTCCATGGAGGCCTTTGGAGACCTCGGCAGACCTCGCCGTCCCCCCTGTGGCTCATCCTTCTCCTTCTCCTCCTCCTCCTTTTCCTGTGGCTCCTTCCTCCTTCCCCCGTAGTCATCCGAGTAGGGTGGCGGACGATGCGACGGAAGGAGGTGTAACAAGTAATTAGTTGGAGGAGGGTGACGGCGGCCAGGTTGGAGGAGGAGGATGCGGACCACCATGACAACGCGTCCTCGCCGTGCGGTTGGGCTTCGATGCTTCGGCATTGAAGCGCTAGAGGTTGTCTTGGCAAAGTATGTCCTGCTCCCAGCTGTGAGCACCGCATGAATTCGACAGTATTCCTACACAGAACACGTACCTGCAGGTTTTCACAAAAAGTATGTATGCCGGACTCGGGCGATTTCGAGATGGCAGCGGCAATGACCGCACGGACAGCAGCCAGCCCTGGGCTGGACTATTCCTCTCTTCTTGCTGGCCCGACGGATGTCCAGAGCGGCGTGGTTTTCTCCAGGGACCGTCCTGGCTCCGCCAGTCGCGCACGCACACCGCCTTTCACGAGGTGCTCTGGGAAGGCCGGCGCCCGCGGATTTCATCTTCCCCAGCTGGCTTGGGCAAGATTTGACACAAAGCGTGACCTTCCTCAATTTCGCGTTCTTCGTCTGGGCCGCCATCCGGCGCTCCTCTCGGACATTGGCCGCTCGGCGTCCTTTGGTTGGAGTATTTTGCCCGGCTGAACGGGACATGGCTTCCGGGGAGGCGCGTTCTTCTATTCCTACGTCCTCTTCTCCTCGCTCTTCGACACCGCTTGCACGCAGTCGGCGTTACTCTCGGACAGTGGCCGTTCGGCGCCAGTCGAATGGTGCAGGACTTCGTGGCGCGGTGTTCTACATCTACGCCCTTGTCTCCGCGATCCTCGTCGCCTTCTGCGCGCAGTTGGTGCTGCAAAGAAAACACAGGCGACCTTCCAGTCGCTCGCACTTGCGCGTTCAGCCCCCGGCCGCTTGCGCGGGCAGTATCGGACAGGGCGGAGTTCTATCGAGTTCGTCTGCCTTTCTGTTTTTTGTTGGGGGGGGGGGTCAAAACCGTGCTTATCACCGACATATTGCCTCATGTACACACCTGTCAGGAGGGGGATGCGTTGGGCGATGTCGACATGGATGAGGACAGCGGTCGGATTGGGGAGGGCGAGAAGGGAGGAGAAGCAAATGGACGACGACGGAGATGACGTTGGAATTTACCAGGAACAGGCAGCAAGCAGCAACATGATGCGGATGATGCTGATGATGATGCTGACGATGATGTTGCTGGTGGCGATGATGATGCTTATGTTGGTGCTGGTGATTATGATGATGGCGATGATGATGTTGATACTGATGTTGATGATGATGATGATGATGCTGACGATGATGCTTGCGATGATGGCGATTTTGATGATGATGATGCCGATGAGGCGCAGGCGTATCCACATGCGGCTTTGTTTTCAAGGTGATGCAGAGTAGGAGCATCAGCAGGGGAGGGTGAAAGGGGGCCGTCACAGGGGAGAAGATGAAAAGGAAAGGAACGGCAGGAGAAGGAGGAGGAGACAGGGAGCACAGCAGCAGGAGGAGAGGGGGGGAACTCCGGAAGGACGCGAAGCGGACCAGGGTGGCGCGAGAGGCAGCAGGGGCGGCGTCAGAAGACGAAGGCGGAAGGGGGCGAGAGGGGGCAGGATCGGGCGGGTGCTAGTGTTAAGTCGGGCCTGTCCCTCTACAGGGAGAATATTCAAACATAGTCACAAAACAAATGGTCAGGGGACGATGTTTTGATTATTGTTGCGCATTTTTGGAATATTTGTGGTTGTTGTTGTTTGCCGCCCAAAATCCCCCTGTAGGGGTGACAGGCCCGACTTAATGCTAGTGGGGGGGTGACCTAACTGGGGCGTGGAGAAGAGAGCCCAAAAGGGGCCCTTCGGGGCCCCTTTTGGGCCCCTGCTTTCTCCACAGGGGCCCCTAAAGGGCCGCTTCAGGGACCTTGTCTCCCCCCATTGCCCCCCGCCCGCGGGAAGGGGGTGCAGGTTTCGGAGGGGATTGCAGGGGAAGTTGGGGAAGAGAGGGAGGGAGGGATAAGCAAGGCGCGCTCTCGTCATATCTGACGCCCTAACCCTCCCTCCCACCCCTTACCACTACGGAGAGCCCCTCTCTATTCGCGCAGTCGGACGTCGAGGAGGACAACGGTGCCAAAAGGGTACGCGATGCATAGCACGGCACAGCATTGCGAAGTCAAGCATTGCATATCATAGCGTTGCAGCACAAGGTATGATATCGCATTGCGGTCATTGCATAGCATTGCATGGCATGGCCTTGCGTAGCCCAGCGTTGCATATCACAGCATTGCAGGGCAAGACACGGAATCACATAATAAGCGGCGCATGACATAACATGGAGGTGCATGCCATGGTTGCATGAGCGGTGCAGCCGGAACAACATGCTGGAATGAGACCAGCGTTGCAGCGGGAGCAGCATTCGGAAGAACGAGATTCCAGAAGTGATGTCAGCGCTGCAGCTTGAGCACCATTCGGAAAGACCGAACGTGCGGAAATGAGGCCAGCATTGCAGCGGGAGCACCAATCGGAAAGACCGAGAATTTGGAAATGAGGCCAGCGCTGCAGCGGGAACACCATTCGGAACGACCGAAAACGCAAGACTGACAACACCGCTGCAGCGGGAGCACTTTTTTGAAGGACCAGAAGCGCGTAAATGAGGCCAGCGCTGCAGCGGGAGCACCATTTTGAATAACCAGCGTTTTGGAAATGCAGTGGGTGAAAAAGAGCAGTACGCGGGCAGGGTGCGATGTCTTTCCGACGGAATCAGGGAAGAGAAGAGACCAGTGTTCATGTTGTGCAAGTGTGCAGGGGCCGAGGAGGGAGGAGGGCGTCGGAGGTGGGGGACGACTACAGTCAGCGCGCATAGTAAGGATGCGCGCCTTTTCTAGAGTACCCTTTGTGTCCCTGCCTCTGCAGCCCGTCCTTTGCCGCTTCAATTGGCCAGCCCCTCAGGGAACCGTTGGGTCGCCCGCCGCCCCCAAAGTTCCAACTTCGGCCTCCAAGGGTCTTGCGTCCTTACCACCCGGCCTTACTATACAGTCGGGATCCTGAAGAAGGGCCCCTTTTCGTTGGGGAGGGGCTCCGTGTTCCTTGATTGTGTCACAGCTTGCCTTCGGTGTTCCCTCGGTTTTCGATGGGGCATCGAAGTTTCACTGATGGAAAGAAGGGGCCTCGCTCCTTATTTAGGGTTCCTTGGGTCAACGCCCCGTCTGTACGTTGCCACTGTACTGTGCCACTGTACTTCACCAGCCTCGAACTTATCCCTATCCCTCAGATTGACACGCCAAAAGGAGATGACAATCTTAGGGATGCACCCTTAGAAACTGAGGGAATCCCTAAGATCGCCATCGTGACGAGGCGATGCCCAACACAGGGATAGGGATATGTTCCAGGCCAGTAAGTACTGTTCGCCCACAGCCGGCGCTCTCTCTTCTCTGCGCCGCTCACCGAGCAATGTTGACCACGGGCTGAGCTGCGGCGGGGTCTGGGCACCAGTTGCAGTCAGGGCGTTGAAGAAGGAACCCTTCTCGTTGGGGAGGGGCTCAGTGCTCCTTGATTGGTTTTACAGTTTGGCTTGGGTCTTCCTGAGGTTTTCGATGGGAAATCCAAGCTCAACGTTTGGGATCAAGGGGCCTCGTTCCTTATTTCAGGTTACTTAGGTCAACGCCCCGACTGTATCTTGCTGCAGCAGCGTCAGCCTGAATCGAGATCCACTGTATAAACAGATCGTCGAGGAACTTGCCTGCTTGAACCGTCGAGGAGCCCCCTTCCTCGCAGGGGTTCGTTTCCAAGGAAGCCCCCACGGCCTCCAGAGCACCCCTCACGAGGCCCAGGGGGCCCCAGAGGCTCCAAAATCAAGCGAAAAGCTGGGGGAACCTTGTGCCAGGCGCACCTTCAGCAACCTCCGACAGAGTTGTGCTGGCCAGGCCTGGCCCACCCACACACAGCCGTCAGCCACGAGAGGGTGGGCGCACCACGGATGTGCCCTGCGCCCCACCCCTCCTCGGTCCCGAGCGCTCTTCCAGAGAGCGCTGCTCGCCTCCTGCGCCCTCAGAGGCACGCCTCGCCCCAGGGAGAGCGGCGAAAGGTGGAGGCGGACCAGGGAGAAGATCAGAGGAGGAAGAGGCACCCATACCGCTACCCTTGCCTGATTTCCCGTTCTTGGGGCCTCATGGGAGGCCCTCGTCGCTACCGCTGGATTCGCCTCGAAGTCCGAGTCAGAACGCACCCTGGGAGAGGTCTGGGGAGTAGCGGTATCGATACCTTTTGGATTCCCCAGGCAGACTGGCGGCGGCCAGGTTCAGGTGCGGCCTAACCGGACCCTTAGCAAACCATCCGCTTCCGTGACGCCCCCCTCGCGTCGCCCCAAAACGTATGTGTGCGGCCGGAAGGGAGCTTGATAGGCGACAGGACGAAGAAGAGCAAGCGGGCACGAAGAACAGGAGAAGGAAGCATGGGGTGGAATCGGAACTAGGGCCAGCAGTGTGAAGAAAGAGGAGGACGGCAAATCGACAATGGTGATGAGGGGGACGCGTGGATGTGAGAAGATGTGGTTAGGGGAGGGGCAGGTCTGCGCAAGTCTTCGGGGTGGCCAACGCGCTGGGCTTCGGCATCAGCGTGGCCACGGTGCCCCCCATCCACTTCGGTTCCCTCCACTGTCGCCGATTGCTACTACGATTATTGTTACTACTACTACTACTACTACTTCTACTACTACTACGACTACGACTACTACTACTACTACTACGACCTACTAGGACCTACTAGGACCTACTAGGACCTACTACTCCACTACTACTACTATGATGACTACTACCACTCTTTTACTACTACCTCTACTACTACTACTACTACTACTACTACTACTACTACTACTACTACTACTACGACTACGACTACTACTACTACCACCACCACCACCACCACTACAACTACTACTTCTACTACTACGACAGCTAATTTCACTACGACTACTACTACTACTACTACTACTACTACTACTACGACTACTACTACTACTACTACTACCACTACTAATACGACTACTACCTCTACTACGACTACCATTGCTACGACTACTACTACTACTACTTCCCGTACTACTCTTACTGCGACTTCCATGTTTAGTCCTACCACGACTACTACTACTACTACTACTACTACTACTACTACTACTACTACTACTACTACTACTACTACTACTACTACTACTACTACTACTACTACTACTACTACTACTACTACTACTACTACTACTACTACTACTACTACTACGACTACTATACTACTACTACTACTACTACTACTACTACTACTACTACTACTACTACTACTACTACTACTACTACTACTACTACTACTACTACTACTACGACTACGACTACGACTTCTACGAATGCCACCACGGCTACCAGCACTACCATTACGATTACCACGACTACACTTATCATTGATGTTGCGACCAGTGTTGTTGGTAGTACTGTTTTTATTATTCTTCGTAGAGCGACCACCATTATTGGCAATATGTTGTTTGCTGTTACTACGTTCGCAATTCACACGATTTCTAACACGACTGCTACAACCACGGATACAGCTACGGCGACGACGTTCTACGTCGGTCGCGACTACGGCGCCTACAAGTGCGATTGCTACGACAACAATTTGTGTTATTCTGCGTGTGCATGTACGACGACGACAACATCTATCACGACAACACCCGCACGGTAATTACGACTACGAGTACGAATATCATTATTAGCACAAGTAATGTCATTACTACTACTACTACTACTATTACTACTACTACTCCTCTTACCACTTCTACTACGACGACTACTACTACTGCTACGAATGCTGCGGCTGCTATTACTACCACTACTACTACTCCTACTACTACTACTATTACTACTACTACCACTACTACTACTACTACTACTACTACTACTACTACTGCTACTGCTACTGCTACTACTACTACTACTACTACTACTACTACTACTACTACGACTACGACTACGACTACGACTACTACTACTACTACTACTACTACTACGACTGCTTTTACCACCACCGCTACTCCTACGACTACGACTGCTACGACTACTACTACTACTACTGCGGCTACTTCTGCTACTTCGGCTGCTACTACGACGACTATTATTTTTACTATTGATATTAATACGACTACTACTACGACGACTACTACTACTACTACTACCACTACTACTCGTACCACTATTATTACTACTACGACTGCGAGCACTCTCACTCGAACAATTACGACTACGACTATTACGATTGTTACTACTACTGCTACTCCTAGTACTACTGCTACTACTACTGCACCTACTACTACTACCACTGCACGACTACTACTATGATAACTGCTACTGCTACTGATATTGTTGCCACTCAATTACGAGTATTACTACAAGCAGCAACGCTATTATTACTTCCAGAGGTACTGCCATAATGTTGTCCAGTACCACCGCTACGATGCCTACTACTACTAATACTACTAGTACGGGCTAGTACGACTTCAAGTACCAGTACTACTACCACTACTACTACTACTACCACTACTACTACGCCGACTACTACTACGACGACGACTACTACTACTACTACGACGACCACTACGACTGATACTACGGCTAGTAGTTTGATGACTATTGCGGCTACCATTACTGCGGCCACTACGACGACTACTACCACGACGATGACACATATTACTATTACTATTACTACCACTGTGTGCGGCGATGACGACGGTTACTACACATACCACCACTACTACTGCTACGGCTACGACTACTACCACTATTTTTACGACTGCTCCTGCTGCTACTACTAGTCTGACTTCCATTTCTACGAAAATATGACGAACCTGTTCCTATACACCCTATGATTTTGAATATCCACTACTAGTAGTACTACCACTATTACTAGTACACTTACTATTACTTCTACCACTGCTACTACTATTACTAGTACGAATACTGCTACTACTACTACTACTACCACTACTACTACTACTACGACTACTACTACTACTACTGCTACTACTACTACTATCACTCCGACTAGTACTGCTACTACTACTACTAATATTACTATTGTTAGGGTTAGTGTTACTACTACGTTCTTTTTCTTGTGGTATTACCACTTCTACGGCTACTACTACTACGACTACTACTACTACTTCTTCTACTACTACTACTTTTACGACTACGACTACGAGCGCTACGACTATCAGTCGTACGATTACTGCGGTTACCACGATTGACACGACGACGACTACGACTACAATGGCTACGTTTTTTTATTAGTACGACGACGAAGACTATTCCTGGTTATACTACTACGACCACATCCACTAGTACTACGGTTCGTGCAAGTTTGATTTGTACATGTACGACTACTACTGCTACTACGACTATTACGATTGTTATTCTAACTACTACTACTACAACTACTACTACTACTACTACTACTTCTACTACGACTACTACTACTACTACAACTATCACGACTGCGATGTACGACGACCTGCCGTTGCTACTATTGTTAGTACTACGACTACCACTACTACCACCGCTATTTCTACTACTACTACTACTACTACCACGACTACTACTACTACTATCACGGCTATTACTATTACTCCTACTACTACTACTACTACTACTACTACTACTACGACTACTACTACTACTACCACTACTACTACTACTTCCCCCAACTACTACTACTACTCCTACTACTACTACTACTACTACTACTACTACTTCTACTACTACTACTACTACTACTACTGCTACTACTGCTACTACTACCACCGCCCTTCCTATTCATTATGCTTTTGAGACTAGAGCCGAAGCTTACAAAAGGTGGTATAGGGGCGCATATTGTGCAATAGTGACAGCTACCTCCCTGATCCGAGAGCGATGGCACTCATATGGCTGATCCTGCCACGGGTGTCGCACCTTCTCCCACGTACGGTAAGTGTCATAAAGTGATGCAGCTCTTTGCTTTCACTCACTGATCTAGATCTGGCAGGAATGCACAGTCGAGCAAAACGGTGGCGCTGTCAGTCCCCCTGCGTTGCGAAGACACGAAATGAGAAAGACAACGTCGGTTATGCTCTTCTGCGATGTCACGCAGCGAGTAGAGCGGAGTTGACTTGTATGTCACCTGCCTCCCTGCGTTGCCACGCAATGAGAGAGGAATGCCAGGAATTGTAAATGCCCCCTTGCGGTGCCACGTGACGAGTATATTAAGATCGCTTGGTGTTGTTTCTTGTTCTGCCCCGAATGCGTGACTATGGCTCGGGTGAGGTATGATGGTTTTGTTTGCCGTCCCCTCGTTGTCACGTTTCGAGTAGAGTTGACTAGTAGGTTGCCCCCCCCACCCACGCACTGTCGTGAAACGAGGAAAGTATAATAGTAATTGAGCCCGCCCCCTGCATTTCATGAGGCGAGCAAAGTAGACGAGCAGGGTTTGGGTCAGTGTTGGATTCTAGGGATAGGGCTAGGCCGGCATATTCTTCAGCTTTTTAGAGGTGAAAGGACACGGGGGAGTTTCAATGCCCGGCCCGAAAAGCAAGGGGAAAACCCATTTTTCGCCACGAACGGGGGGGAGGGGATGGGGTCCCCGACGGCGGATCGGAAAGGAAAGAGGCTTCCAGGACCACGGACTGGGTAAAAGGGGATGGAGAGGTGTCCATTCTACCCCGCGCACGTGAACCAGCGGTTCTCCGTCGCAAAAACATGCGCGACCACAGTTTCAGAAGTAGAAGGGGGTGCTGCTGAGTTACGACTGCACCGTGACCCACGGCATTCCATTATGGCGGCAGCACTCACCTCCTCAGCTTCACACCGTTCCCATTGGCCAAAATCACTGTCGACACCATCCCTGCTCCTGCTGCCGCAAGAACCTGTGCCGCCACCACCATACCTTGTCCAATTGGTAACCACAAGCATTCCTGATTTAACTCCTACCTGTACCCCGTAACCCTCATCACTGAATCGTTCCACTTCGTCCGCATTCGCCTCGCTAGCCCTTCAGAAGTCGCGTGGCTGCACAAAGTTCACGATGCTTCTTTGTTGGTCCGCATGGACAGTGGGTGGTCGATCTTGCAAAAAGGCGTGGCGGGAACGGAAAACGGCGCTACTCGCGCGCGAGCGAGCGACATGGTTTTGTCGCACGTTTGCCGCTGAGATCGCTTCTCAAAGTAATGCTCCCTGCGGCGTTCGCCAACTCATCGGAAGCGGCGCTACGCCCGAGAGAGCGTATGCTGTTCTTGCTGAAAAATGCCGCGCAAGAGGGGGAGGAGGAGGAGGAGGAGGAGGAGGAGGAGGAGGAGAGGAGGAGGAAGAAGAGGAGGAGAGGAGGAGAGGAGGAGAGGGAGGAGGAGGAGGGAGGAGAGAGGAGGAGGGAGAGGAGGGGAGGGGAGAGGAGGGAGGGAGGAGGAGGAGGAGGAGGAGGAGGAAGAGGAGGGGAGGAGGGGAGGAGGAGGAGGAGGAGGAGGAGGAGGAGGAAGGAGCCCAGCAATCCTTCTGGATTCGGGCCGCGCGAGGTTGATCGATTTGCCGATCGGCGCGGGCCCTCGCACCCCCCCCCGTCCC